ATCCTATCCACGATGAACTGCCTATCTACTGGTGCGTAACAGAAGTGTGCCTTATCCAGGGGTAGGACATGCTTGATCGTGTAGTGTGCATTCGTAGCGTCATGACAACGTAGCATATGTGTGATACCTGCCGCCTGCATGCGATAAGAGCCAGCGAGCTGAATTCCCATGACCGTCTCCCTCCTCCTCCTCCTCCTGAGACCCCCGTGAAGCCAGTTAGGAGGTTCCCAGTGTGGGCACTTTCGTGCGAGTGCAGCTGCGTGAAACGCCCGCCCCAAACAGTACATAACCATGATAAGTCGCTTCCCGTCGCAATCGAGCTTGTGATTGTTCTTCGGGATGCGTGCTGCCTGTGCACTGTGCCACATCACAGGATGTCTTTTGTATTTCTTACAGGTCAACAAGAGGAGCTTCATCGAATCGCGGGTCTTGTTGATGCTCACAAGCTCCTGATCGGCCCCGAGACCAGCTCCAATGTTTGGCTTCCTTTCGGTGACACATTTTGGATGCAACAGCAGGCGCAATAGTTCGGGTGGCAAAGGTCACCATGGCCACGTCCTCCAGAACCGTAGCCTCCATACCGCTCTACTCAATCGGCCCCAGTCTTCTGCAGCCTGGTATAGTGCCTCCGACTCCTCCATCTCCCCCCTCTCCTCCTCATCGATTTCCTGCTTGATCTGCGTGGGGTGCTTCTCAACCGCGCGACAGCCTCCAGCCAGCGGGTCGAGCTTCATGCCGTGCGCCCACGCTCTGGCTGAGGTTGAGCTGTTGGCGATGGCTGCAAACTTCCTCTGACGTGGGCCTCGCCTTCTACACGCCAGGAGTCTAGCCAACTTCTGCACGAGGTAATTGTTTTGTTCCCTGGCTGCTGCTTCAAGTTTTCGAGCTCGGCGTGCTTGTATTTCTCTCCACTCCATGCAATTATTTCGTATATGCTTGCTGATATTCTTCATCCTGTTCGTCAACTCCTCGATGTCCGCTGCTCCTCCAGCTCCTCCTCCTCTTAGTTCTCGACGCTCGTGCAATAAGTTGGCTATCTCTCTAGTGTGCTGCTTGTGACTCTCGGTGTACAGCGGGGACTCCGCCAGCTGCTCGACCGCTGCCTGATTGAGGGCGCGGATCAGGAGTCCGTTCACGCTGTCAGCATGACTTGCTGTTGCTGCTGCTTGGAACTCCTCCTCCACCTGCCTGATCTGCTTCTCCGTCGCATTCAGTACCTCGTTCCTCTTGCACCCTGTCTGCACGTACTGGCACATCGCCTCCCTCTATTAGGCCTGGGAGGGCGCCTGGGCAGAAGGCTCGCTGGCAAGCTGCGCTGGCAACCCGACGAGGGCGGGCCCGTGGTCGCGTGGCTCCCGCGACCGGACCGCCTGCAGCCGTCTTGCCGAATTGGACAAGCTATGCACCCGCTCTATGGCCTACCTACCAGACCACCCCAACCCAACCCGAAGACCCGAGTTTCGGGTTGGGGGGGGGTATGGGCTCCCTACGTGTTTTCTCGATGCTCCCCGACCCCCCCCCCACTGGAAATGGAGGGCAAATTGAGGCCTTCGGGTTGGGTTGGGATGGTTTGGTAGGTGGCCATCTATGCTCGTCAGCATCTCCTGCGGAACAAACACTTGGGCGATGTACGAGTTGCCCTTCTCGCCGACGTACGTCGGGGGGCCCTTACGGTGAGTCGAGGCGCTTGTCATCTCCCATCCGTGCAGGTATGGTCTAAGTCTTGCCGGCGAGGGTGTGATCTTGCCTGTCCCGAATATGCCCGCTACTTTGTTAAGAGGACTATGCGGCAATGCTCCGTTCAGATACGTCATGATGATGGGTACTGCTCCACGTTCTTGGGTATTCGCCATCGCTTCCGACATCCACTTGAGCAGGTGCTCAATGCTTCGGTCGTAGATCTGCCTTCCTCTTGACGATGTCTCTCTCGGTGGGAAGTGCGCAAGAATGATGCCAAACTTAAGTCCCTGAGGTTCCAGCAAAACTCCAAGGACCCTTCCTCTGATGCATTTCGGTGCGCCAAACATACGTTTAGTACAGTGTCTGGGAAATCTCGTTCGTCAACAGTGCCACCCCGCAGCTTCTTGTTGTAAACTGACGATATACATCGCCTGCCTCAATCGTATAATACCTGCTCACCGTGCGCGTGTCTTCCACTATCTCTCCTCTACTCTTGAGCTGAGTCCCAATCAGTCCTATCAAATCCTTGGTGCCGGACTCGTGCGCTATGTCTAATAGCCTGGCGTGGGTGTTCGCGCACATGGGGTTATGCAAGACGATGCGGAGTAGGCCTGCTGCCATCGCGGCGCTGCCGCCGCCAGGCCCGCGCATTCCATGGGGGGGTATGCGCCCCGCGGAAGGTAGCCTCTTCAACGGTGGCGCGCGCGCTGGCGCCTGACCTGGGCCACCAGGAGGAGGAGGAGGAGGAGGAGGAGGAGGAGGAGGAGGAGGAGGAGGAGGAGGAGGAGGAGGAGGAGGAGGAGGGGAGGAGGAGGAGGAGGAGGAGGAGGAGGAGGAGGAGGAGGCGGAGGAGGAGGAGGAGGAGGAGGAGGAGGAGAAAGAGGAGGAGGAGGAGGAGGAGGAGGAGGAGGAGGGGGCATCGTGCGAGCTGCTCGCACGTCTGCGCACGGCGGGGGCGCGCCGCGAAGCCCCTGTGCCCTGCGTGCGGGCGGCGCGCTCCGCGCCCGCTGCAGGCCTGCAGGGTCGAACTGGCGTGTGCTCCGATCGCGCGTGCACAGTGGAGGCCCATGCCAAGAATTAGGATCTTCCAACCCCTGATCAGTGTCTTTTAAGTTCCATGCTTTGTGATGCGTTCCTCAGTATGCACTCTTCAGTCAGATATTGCCTGCCTGCCTGGCTCGCCGTCTCAGCAATTTGAAGCTCGTCTCCGAATGCAGGCACGGAGACATCGTGCGTGCAGACTGATCTGGTCTAAGCTGTCTCAGACAAACAACTAACAAAGGGTGGGTAGTGCCCCCCCAAAAAAAAATATGATGTTCCAACCTACTTTAGCGTGGATTCTCCTTCCTAAAAGGAGAAATAGACTCTAGCCCCCCCCCCGCGTTATCCGTACCCCTGTCGGGTGTGTAGATCACATATGATTCTGACCACATGTCCGTCCGAAGTATGAATTTACACTTTCTCAGGGCGGCCGGTATCGACCCCCCTGGGGTTCCCTTGTAAAAAAACGATATGCGGGGACATTTGTTGTTCTAACGTAGCACTTGTTCGCGAATCCCTTGCAACAAAAAAGAGGACGAAGTGCACACGCGTACGTCGTCGCGCGCGCGTGCCGGAATCTTTCAAAAAACCTTCGGTGTCGGAAGGGTTTCGCAGTCGAGTTTCCAAAAACCATACAAAACACAGGGTTTCGCAACACTGATTTGCTAAACAAGCTTACGCGCGAGCTGTTGCGAAATCTGAAGAAAACCCTAGGTTTTTCAAGATTGTCACAACATGCTACCAAGCGGGCTTCGCGCGCGCGCATGTCGAAGTCTGTCGAACGCCCTTGCGCGTGTGCCGTCGCGAGAATCCTTTGCAAAAAACGGGACGAAGTGCAGACGCGCGCGTCGTCGCCCGCGTACGCCGAAATCCTTCAAAACCCATCGGTTTCGGAAGGATTTCAACATCGTGTGTCCAAGAAACATACAAAAAGACAAGGTTTCGCAACACGGATTTTCAACAAAAGCGTGCGCGCGCGCTCTTGCGTCGTCGTCGTCGTCGTCGCCGTCCTCCCTCCTCCCGCGTCGTCGTCGTCGCCTACGTCATCCTCTGTCTTTCCTCGTGTTCGTCGTCGTCGTCCTCTTTGGCGTCGTGGTCGTTTCCGTTGTCGCTGTCGCCGTGGTCGTCCTTCCTCCTCCTCTCTCGTCGCCGTCGTCGTCCGTCGTCGGCGTCTCGTCGTCGTCCCTCCTATTTCGTCGCCGTCGTCGTCGCCGTCGTTGTCGTCGTCGTCGTCTTCCTCCCTCGTCGTTGTCGTCGTCGGCGTCGCCCTCCTTCTTCCTTCTTCGTCGTTCGCGTCGTCGCCGTCCTCCCTCCTCCCTCGTCGTTGTCGTCGTTGTCGTCGTTGTCGTCGTTGTCGTCGTTGTCGCCGTCGTCGTCCTCCCCTCCTCCCTCGTCGTCGTCTTCGTTGGCGACGTCGTCGCCGTCTTCGTCGTCGTCGTCGGCGTCGTCGTCGTCGTTGTCGTCGACGTTGGCGTCGTCGGCGTCGTCGACATCGGCGTCGTCGACGTCGGCGTCGTCGACGTCGTCGGCGTCGTCGGCGTCGTCGTCGTCGTCGGAGTCGTCGTCGTCGGCGTCGACATCGTCGTCGTCGTCGTCGGTGTCGTCGTCGTCGGAGTCGTCATCGTCGTCGTCGTCGGCGTTGGCGATGTCGTCGTCGTCGAAGTCGTCGGAGACGTCGTCGGTGTCGTCGCAGTCGTCGTCGTCGTCGTCGTCGTCGTCGTCGTCGTCGTCGTCGTCGTCGTCGTTGACCTCGACGTCGACGTCGCTGTCGTCGTCGGCGTCGGTGTCGTTGCCAAGTGCCATTGGGTGCCTACCGTCAGTCTTAAGAGGGTTTGCAAAACAAGTTGCGGGTGGGTGGGTGGGATGTTTGCAAGAGGATGGGATGTGTCAAATCATGGGTAAAAACCAACCACCAGCAAACAAAAACAAACACTCCCAAACTCGAGGGTTTTCACGTGTCGGGCCCTGGGAGACACTGTTTCGACACTCTTTCGACACTCTTTCGACACTCTTCTGGAGCTCGAAATCACTTCTGGGATGTGGTCCATAAAGTACGGTGGGAGCAACACATGCCAAGAAGCACCCTGCTTGCCTCCAGGGTAGCCTGGGTTTCGTGGGTTTCGCCGGTTTGGCTGTGTGGGTGGCGCGGCGCTCCCGCAGCAGAAATCCACGGACGTCCTGGGGCCTCAGGGCCGGGTTTCTCGTGGAAGGTCTCTCGTGGGCTGGCCTCCACTGTGCGCGAGTTCGGTATTCCACAGGACAGATCTGCCCGTCCATGCATGTCCACGGATTTGCACAGGCAGCAGCCGCTTGCCGTGCTCCTCATTGGAGCCAGAGCGCCAAGGCAGGCGAGAGCGCCCTCGCACAATGCCTTTTCCAGGCGGCTCTGTTGCGGCACTCTGGGCCAGCGCCAGTCCCGCTCGGATGCCTCGCTCGCTTGGGACGTTGGTTCGAGCACTTCAGAGGAGGAAAAGGTACCCTTCCCTCGTTTTCCCCTGTTTGGGCCTCCTGGGCGGCCCTCGTCGCCACCGCTGGATTCGCTTCGAAGTTCTGGTCAGAACGCACCCTGGGAGAGGTCCGGGGAGTGGCGGTATCGGTACCTTTTGGTTTCCCCAGTATTGTTGGGCAAGTGAGCCAACGACGGCGAGTCGATAGACACCCCTCCCAGACGAGCATGGATTCCACACTGCGTTTCGCGTGTGCATTGACGCCGTGGTGCGCGGATTTGGCGGACCCATTTCAATTCGTCGCCCTCACCAGGCGGACCGAGTCTTGTGCACATTTCGTTTTGTGGTGCAATTCTGCCTCGGCGTCGTGCTCCACCGGCTTCGAGACCCTGTTGGGAGATGGTCTCTTGTGCGCATGCGAGTGTGATTCCCCCACCCATGCTTGCACTTAGGAGTTCTTACTTCTGGAATATAAGAAACTGGGCCTGCGGGTCGCTCTGGCCGCCGTGTCGCCGCCGTCGCCGCTTCGTCGCCGCCCGTCGCCTGGGCCCGCGGGCCGCTCTGGCCGCCATGCGGCCGATGTCGCCGCCTCGTCGCCGCCTGCCCCCGCCCGTCGCCTGGGCCCGCGGGCCGCTCTGGCCGCCCTGTGCCCGCCCGTGGCCGCCTCGTTGCCGCCCGCCGCCTCGTCGCCGCCCGCTCTGCATTGCTTTGCGCCTCTCTGCACTGCTTTTTTGCACTGCTTTGCACTGCTTGGCATTGCTCTGCACTGCTTCGCATTGCTCTGCATTGCTTTTTCTAGCTCTGCGTTGCTTTGCGTTGCGTTGCGTCACTGCCTTGCACTCGCACTGCGTTGCAGTAGCACTGCATTTTACTGCTTCGCATTGCTTTCATTGTGTTGCACGGTTTTGCTGTGCCTTACGTTGCTCTGCACTACTTTGCAACGTTTTGCAACGTTTTGCGCTGCTTTGCGTTGCTGTGCATAGCACTGCCGTGCATTGCTTTGCTTCACATTGCTGTGCGTTGCGGTGCAGTGCTTTGCATTGCTGTGCATTTCTTTGCATCGCTTGCACCACATGTATTGCGTCACATGGATTGCACGACCTGAATTGCACCACATTGATGGCACCACCTAGATTGCACCGCGTATATTGCAAGGAATCATGGTTTGGGGTCCACGCTGGCTGACACATTCAATAGTGTTCCCAGTCGGGCAATATGTGTTTAAGGTAGATCGGTCGTTGTTTCGCCCGCGAGGTCGTTCCTCATGTAACCTGACCCTGCACACATGGATGACTTGCATATCCCACATCGTGCAGATTCTTCCATGCGTGCTATCCTGTGTGCCATCTTGCCATCATGCACTCCGCATTCAAGATGCCGCCCTGAGCACTGTTGCACACAACGGCTCGTGCGGCGCTCCATCTTTAGCTTCTTGCCGCACTATGCCAGAGTATCGACTTTGGTTGGACTTCGAGGCCCCTGGATTGACGAACCGACAACACACACCCATACCCATAGGGGGGTCGGAGAGGGCTATGGGCGCGTGTTGTCGGATGGGGGTCCCCGCTCGAACGGGAGCGTCCCCCTGGGTCAGACAACCCGCACCCATACCCATAGCCAGTCCTCCTCGCAAGGACCCCCCTATGGGTGTGGGTGTGTGTGTTGCTCGTTCGTCATGGATGACTGAAGCCTGTGCTTTCGCTGGCCCCCCCCCGAGCTGTGGCCGACGAGGCCGCGTGCCAGGGCCGAGGCGCCTCGTCGACTGGGTTCGCAGGGACCGAGGCCCCGAGTGGCCACGAGGGCCCCTTTTAGCCCTTCGTGTGTTTGCGACGGCCGCGGCTGCGACGGCCAGTGGTGGAGGCAGCTGCGATTCAGAATCGGACCCGAGCAGGGGAGGAGGAGGATCGAGGCTCGAGGATCGAGGAGGAGGAGGAGGAGGAGGAGGAGGTGGAGGAGGAGGAGGAGGAGGAAGAGGAGCAGGCAGGCTTCAGGATCTCAACGGCGAGCAGCGATGTGCACCTGGGCCTCACCGGGAGCATGTCCTTTCGGGGTGCTGCTGCCTTTTTGCGGATGTTCTCAGCCGCAGGCCTCGTGCTGACCCTCTGGGGAGCTTTCGTGTCGCTAGATCGCTGTAAAGCATTGAAACAACCAAGGACAACCTCCAGAGAGCAGGTCCCTCGCGAAACAGGTCCCGCCGTGGGTAATATTGCTTTCGTTTGTATGTAAGCTCTTGTCTCGAGTCAGTCATTCGACAGGACATGGGTGTCCTTCTATGGCAAGGCGAACTTATGTTTTCACAATGCTGGCGACGAACAGCTTGACACATTTTCTCTTTGGAACAATTGGATCAAGACAGGCGCGTACTTGCGCGCCCTCTTCATGATTGCGAGGGTCTTCGTCACTCGGGGCTATCGCCGATTCCGTTGCAAACTCGAGTCCTTCGTAATCTTACAGTACTATTCACACGCGTTGTTCACCGCACGTTGCTCATCATGCGTATCCTCACGCTCGCCATCTCCCCGACTATACTCCAAAGCACGCGCGATAGAGCAACATGTTCGCTGGCGACCTGCAGCATTTGCCGTCTCACAAGATGCAGTCGTCCTGTCTTTTGTCGCACCACGCTTGAATCTTCTTGTTCACCGCTGCCAGGGGTGACAGGAGGAATGCTGCTTGCTTTCTGCTGGTCCCCGACGCCTGCGGAGGTTGCGCGCAATGACCGGGGCGCCTGATCGAAAGGGGTCGCCGGGGGTCTCTGCCCAGTGTGCCACGAGGGTCGAGGAGTCTTAAGGGTTTGTGACTTTCAAGACGGCGATGCCCAGAAGGTGGAGGCAGCTGCGAGTCGGACTCACCTGTTTCGAGTTCTGGAGGCGTGATCATGCGCGGCGATGGGTAGGGTCGGTCGTTTCGCGGTCTCGCAATTCTGCCGTCTGCAGTTTCCTCGGCCATCTCTTTGCTGCCCCCATAGGGGGCCCACTCGTCTCGAGGTGGTGCCATTGCCCAGGAAGACGACTAAGAAGACGACTAAGAAGACGACGACCGTATCCCAATACATTGCAGCCAGTTTCACGGAGTTTCTCGCAGGCTCAAGTCTGGCACAAGGACCGTTCCCGGGTTCTTCCTCCAAGTGTGGAGTCTACGGGCGCGTTTTCAATGTTTTGGCGCCAGTCCCCGCCACTCTTTCACCTTCCTGGAGACAGCTTGGTGATACGATTCGAGTCCCTCACATGATAGATTTAGCGTGCGCTTGGAATGTCAAGTTCTGAGTGGTGGAATGCCGACCAACATTGACATGTACTTGGTGGACCTCGCAGGCAGAGCAGTTGACACCGACTAGCTTTGAAATATGGGTCTGCCACGGAATTGCTGCCGATAGCACGTGCTTGGCCTCGATCTGACAATCGTGGACGACATGCGTGTTTGCACGCGTTTCGCTAGATCGTTAGCCCATGCCTATGCTTCACCAGAGTGTGTTGGCGGATACATAGGAAGCGTGGATCGTCTCCTTGGCCTTCGGTGCCGTGGCATGGATATCATGATCGTGACGTTCGCTTCCAACGGACGGTTTCAAACTTATAGTACCAGGCTGAACGCACCTGCTGACTTAACGGCAGTGGCAAGGCTAACCATACATATCCAGACGCCGATGTGTCTGTGTATAGATGTGTGTATAATTATGTATACATGTGCATGTGCTGGGGTGTGCAGCAACACGAACACTCATACTCGCAGCATGGATAACCCGACGAATAAGCAAGATACCTGCGGCACACCCCGCCACCGTGCCAGTGCAGCAGCGCCTCAAGACAGCGTTTGAGCCCAAAGCCCGCTCCAGCGCAGTGCCTTGTCTGGACTAGCGCGGGTCTTTCACTTTCCAGTTTGATCCAGAGCCTTGGTACTGTCTTTGTTCTTACTTCATCTCTCCTGTGCTCTACTCCATCCTGCCACCTGTAGGCGTTTTGACGGATTCTTGGGGGCTTCTTGGGCCTTCTTGGGGGTCTCCGATGGGCTTGTTGGGGGACCCGGTGGGGGCCCCAGACGGCCGTCGAGGGCGCGTTTGTTGCGCCGAGCTCTTCAGAAGGGGCTCGGCGGAACCGTCTTGGAGCCGTCTGTGCACCCTGCCAGACTATTGTCAAGCATTAATATACGCCACCACGTCCGTGCTGGCACTGTGGCGGGTAGTACGGAAAGACGGGGAGCAGGAAAAGGAGAGAGGGAGAGAGAGAGAGAGCGAGAAAGAGAAGAGAGAGAGAGAGAGAGAGAGAGTTTGAACGTTTGGAGATTGTATTGGTGCTTCACTCTAGGGCCTGAAGCGCCGTACACTCGGAAGCTTACGCAACGAGTACGTTTTGCCGTGTGTTGAGGTCGCGAAGTTGTAACATGTATAATTGCGCACGGAGTTGCGAAAAGCAGCACCGCGCACTAGGAAGCCCCGCGATGTGGGAGTAGTTGATCTGTCAGCGAAGAGTGGACATGACGAACAGCAGGGCGAGAAGAGGGTACGTCTGTCCATTTTCTGTGCGCACCTGTGGTGTTGGGTCCTCGTTTTGAAGAGACGGTGCCCGCGTCCTCTCCTCTCCTCCTCTTCCCCCTCCTCCCTCCTCCCCCTCCTTGCCTCTGCTCTCGGCACACCTCTCACGCGTTTCGTAGCCCCATAGGGAGCTCCACCGAAGGCCCCAGTGGGGGTGTCCACATGCGGTTCCCCCACCCAGGGCAGCGTTTCGTGGCCCCATAGGGAGCTCCACCGAAGGCCCCAGTGGGGGTGTCCACATGCGGTTCCCCCACCCAGGGCAGCGTTTCGTGGCCCCATAGGGAGCTCCACCGAAGGCCCCAGTGGGGGTGTTCGCATGCGGTTCCCCCACCCAGGGCAGCGTTTCGTAGCCCCATAGGGAGCTCCACCGAAGGCCCCAGTGGGGGTGTTCGCATGCGGTTCCCCCACCCAGGGCAGCGTTTCGTGGCCCCATAGGGAGCTCCACCGAAGGCCCCAGTGGGGGTGTCCACATGCGGTTCCCCCACCCAGGGCAGCGTTTCGTGGCCCCATAGGGAGCTCCACCGAAGGCCCCAGTGGGGGTGTCCACATGCGGTTCCCCCACCCAGGGCAGCGTTTCGTGCCCCATAGGGAGCTCCACCGAAGGCCCCAGTGGGGGTGTCCACATGCGGTTCCCCCACCCAGGGCAGCGTTTCGT